CAGTTAATTTGCTGCCGTTCCTGGGAAGTGACAGCAACTTGAAGCAAAGCAATTAGGATGAAAAAGAGGCCCAGCTGCTTGGGGCCAAAGGAAAATAAACAGAGCAGCCCTGTGTGTATTCCACGGCCAAGAGGAGCAATTCCTCACCGGATGATTAGTGTTTCCAATCCCAGCCTCTTCCCTTCCCTTGAAGGAAGAGAAGTGACCCACAAGCGGCTGCTGTTCCCAGAGCCCGCTCTTCCCAGGGTGGACTTGACAGCTCATCACCTTCCCAGAAAAGTCTTCCCTGGCCACCTGCCCAACCCCCACAGCCCTGCCAAAAATGACACCCCTCTCCTCCGAAATCTGAGGGCCTTTCTCTGTACCTCTCCTATGGGGTTTCCCTTGATTAACTGATCAATTGATTCATTCATTCATTTTTTTTCAACAGACATCCATTAAGCACCATGCATTCATTCATTCATTCAACAAATATTTCTTAAACGTCTACTATGTTCTAGTCACTGTTCTGGGTCCTGGTGATACAGCAGTAAACAAAACAGACAAAAATCTCTGTCCTCATGGAGCTCGAATTTTAGTAGGAGGAAACAGACAATGAACCAGTGAAAATGCAGCATGGAAGATGATGTTGAAGCTATGGAGGAAAATAACACAGGAAAAGGGAGTAGGCTATGCAGAGAGGGGAGGTAGATTTTAAGCAGGGAGGTCAGGAAAAGCCTCAGCATGAAGGTGACATCTGAGCAAAGACCTATATGAGGCAGGGGGGTAGCCAGGTGGCCAAGCGAGGGCAGCAGGCCAGGCAGAAGGACACCGTCTGCAGACGCTGAGCTGAGAGAACCTGTTGTGTCTGAGGAAGAGCAATGAGGCCAGAGTGGCAGGAGATGAATCAGGGAGGAAGCGGGATGGGAGATTCCAAAGGACCCTGGCTTTCATTTGAGTAGATGAGGAGCCACCCAAGGGTTCTGAGAGGAGCAGCAACACGACGGACTGGAGTTTCATTAGGATGGCTCTGGCTGCCATGGGAACACACTGACGACGGGAGGCACCGAAGGAAGCAGGCCCTGGCGGAGTGTGGGAAGGACTAACTTCTCCAGCCTCGTCCGGCAGGCTATGTAAACAAAACAGGATAATCCCGGGGGAGGAAACCCTGGGTGCAGGGCATCCGGAGTCGGGGTCAAAGAGAACATGTGTGGAAGACTGAACAGAGCTCTAGCAGGTTGGGCTGCAGGGCTGCCGCGAGGTTCGGAGGGGAAATGCTCCCTGCTGTTTTAAGCTGGGTATCTCTCTCTGAAGGACAGACTTCTCAGAGTGGCCTCTGGACTGGACAGAGATTTCAAATCCTGCCTTCTGAGCTTAGTAACCCCAATTGTCTCTGAAATTCGAACACCTGAACCTGGTTTGTGCCCCCAAACACCTTCACACAGTGGACGAATATTAAGTGCCAGGGTATGAGAGGCTGAGAGCATCTCTAGTCCTGGGTTCAAGACCCTGCTCTTCCATTTAACTGGCCATCTGACTTTGGGTGAGTCATTTTGGCTTTCTGCTGGTTTCTTCGCCTGCAAACCAGGCATGGTAACCATCTCTGCTGAGGGTGGTGGGCAGTGAAGACGCACACTGGCTGTGGGTGGACAAGGAACCCTAACAGGCCCTTAGGCTAGGGGAGAAGGTGGGCTGGTTCTGAAAGCCTCCCTCACACTTCCAGAGAAAGAGGGAGTCATCTGTGGAAGTGCAAACACCCCCTCATCCCCCCCAGGGCCTAAACCAGTCATCAACACCCTTGTGAAGTGGGCCACCAGTCTCCCAGCTATATCCTAAGGTGAGAGAACCCAGCACAGTTAACTTTCCTACAGAGAGAGGAGCAAGGGAGCAAATGACCCTCAAAAAGAGGTGGGGGTGCAGAGAAGAGGAAAAGGGAGGGGAGTGTCAAGGAGACTATCAGCAACACCCTGTCCATCTCGGAAAGTCAGCCAAGCAGAAAACAAGCACATGCCCCTTCCTAGCTGTGCCTCTTCCAATCACATGCTCTTTGGTTTCATCTTCCTTTAAGAAGGGCAGTAGGAGCCGGGCGCGGTGGCTCACGCCTGTAATCCTAGCACTCTGGGAGGCCGAGGCGGGCGGATTGTTTGAGCTCAGGAGTTTGAGACCAGCCTGAGCAAGAGCGAGACCCCGTCTCTACTAAAAAATAGAAAGAAATTAATCAGACAACTAAAAATATATAGAAAAAATTAGCCGGCCTGTAGTCCCAGCTACTCGGGAGGCTGAGGCAGATGGATCGCTTAAGCCCAGGAGTTTGAGGTTGCTGTGAGCTAGGCTGATGCCATGGCACTCACTATAGCCCGGGCAAAAGAGTGAGACTCTGTCTCAAAAAAAAAAAAAAAAGGGGCAGTAGGGGCATTGCCGAATTGTCTACCACTTAAAATCCTTAACAGCACAAATAAGTCAACTGTGGGAAAGCTGTGAACTCTGTTATTATGCAGAAAAGACATGTCAGAAAGGGCTTCATCTGGATGAACAACCAAACACCAGGAGCCAGGAGGCCCCATTGTAGCAGCCCCAAGTGCAGCCAAACACAAAGTCCTGTGGGTTTCGAGAGCCTGTCGGCAGACGCATTTCCATGCTGCAAGTCTCAGATTTTCAGCATTGGATAGGAAGCATAAGCAAGGAGGAATATGCTCTACTGTTATGAAAAATTATCCATAACTTGGAAGTAAGGAAAAAGGAGGACTGCATGTCTTTTCAATGTCACGTTGGGACAGGGTTGAACAGTAAAGGGCTATCTAATTCTCAAGGGGAGTGTATGTTTGTTTTACAATTTACTATTGATTAGGACTCAGGCTTTGTGAAGTCACATGCTAACTTGCAGGTGTGTGCACAAGTGTGTACGCCCATGTATGAAAAGATGAAAGGGAATTCTGCCCAGTAGAGAACCACAAAAAGTACGGCTTTATTGCCCCATAAGACATTAACCAGCTTGCTCTTTGACATAGCAAACATATTTCAGAATGTCTTTTCCAACTAAATATACAAATATCTGTCTCTGAAATGCTCTTTTCAACCAGCTTTGCCATTCTATGATTCCCTTATTACAAGTTAAGTAAATCTTTGACGCGTAATAAAAATTATAGTTTGATGGAACCACAAGTGAGGGACTCTCCCATGCCATGTGGCTTTGGGCCGGTCACTCAGCTTCTGAACTTCACGTATCTCATCTGCCATAGGGTGAGGGCACCCAACTCCCAGGCCCGAGGTAGGTGCGGAGGTGTGAAAGTACTTTGCACATCATTCACGAGATGCAAAAGTCAGGGTTTATTGCTGTGACTCATCAGACTATGCTACTCCAGGGCTGGAATGTCCCAGGCTTCTGAAGGCAGCATTCTCCAGATTTGGGACATAGGTTAGGAGCAGGGGCAGCTAGGGGCAGCCCTGACACTAGCCTCCACATCCCGGAGGTGCCATGCTGATGCTGCTTTCTCCACTTCTGATGAGGCCAGGATTTCCCACGGGCCTCAGGTCCTGGAGGATGGAGACCATTCAGAACCACTCAGAGAAGTCTGCTGGAGGGCTGGGCAGGCCATCAGCCCAGAAGCCAGAGCTGAGTATTCTAGAGGGACAAGAGTCCTCATCTGACAACAGAGGTCAGCACCAGATCCCTGACTAGTGGCCTCTATCGCCTGGGTTCTCTCAAGACGTCATCATTTTACTCTGCAGGTGGGGAAATGCCCCAGCTAACAGCTTGGGATCTCTGCCCTTACCATCCGCACATGCGCGCACGGCTGTGCACACAGTGATGTTACAGCCAGGGGCAGGAAAGCGAAGAGCTGGACCAGCCAGTCCTAAAGACGAAGTTGGTATAGAGCCAACAGACGGGAAGAGTAAAGGCACTCCAGGCCCAGGGGGATGGCAGGAGCAGAGGCTAGGATGAGAGGGCGAACCTATAGAATGTGGAGGAGGGGATACAAGTGAGGAAGATGAGGGAAGACTGGGCTAGTGTCTTGAGTGACCTGAAGTCATACGATTAACAGTCCGCTACCCCTGTGGTGGGGCAAAAAGGGGATGCGCAAGGTGCTTACACCTGGATGGTCTCCTGAGGCTCCCCATCCCCAAAAGAGGATGTGGGGAATCCCTTTTCTTCCCCACAGGTTCAACTCAGTTATCTGCTACAAGTGCACCCAGCCTCATTCCTTCCCCAGACACCTCCAACTACAGCTGCTCGGCCCTCAAGACTGGGCTCACAGAGACCCTTCCCACCTGCCCTAGCCTTCCCCATCTCTCCTCTTCTGAGCTCAGTCTCCACGGTCTGAACCTCTCCTTTCAGCAGCTGACTGTACCCTGCCTGTCTCTTCCATATAGTCTGTATACTCTCCTCCTTCCTGGAGTTATGTATTTTTCCTGTTTTCCCTTTGTTCTTACTTCTTCAGTACTGTCTTTTATCACATTGTGGATGGGTTTTTTAAAATTCTACATGTTGCTTTCAACTCTTTGTGGATTTACAACTCTTTGTGGATTTACTTACAAGTGTGTGTAAACCTTTTTGTTGTCCTGTAACTGTTAAGATTTTTTCAGGGCTAGACTCTTTGTGGACCCCTGTCTGACAAGTAAAGCTCTCATTAGGCCTAGCACTGTGTTGGGCACACAGTAAGTACCTAATTCTCGCCTGATCGGCAGTTTGATTAACATCACTTAACCCACTCCTAGCCATACTCGATTACTGACCCATTACATGCAAGTCTGGATTACTCAAATCCTAACACCCCCTCTCCCAACCCTCTGCACTGACATCGTGACCCACCAGCTCTCAGCAGAGCCCGAGTGATTTGAAGGCTCAGACCCTGGCGTGGTCATTGCTCCCGAGGTTCTTGGACATGGCTACACCACCAAAAGGCACCAGACCTGGGCATGTCAACAGAAAGTAGTTCCCAGAAGCTCCTAAGGCCAGCCTCACACACTCAGCCTGGCTCAGGGAAGACTCGGGCCGTCCCCTCCTAAAGCCAGCCCAGGGGTCACAGTTCTGGCAACGGTGAGGCCACAGGCCCTGGAGTGCCAGGTGGCAGCCTGAGGAGAAAGGTCTGCAAGGATCCAGGCCGTGGGAAGCCGACCTTCTCCCTAAGCAGTCGCCAGGTGCCGCCCTCGATGGCGTAGAGCAATGTGAACATGCGGTTGACCGTATAGACGGTGTCGCCGCGTACCACGGCCGTGAAGAGCGCTCCCTTGCTGTTGACGAACTGGCCGGGCAGCGCCGTCCACTGACCTGTGGTGAGGTTGAGGCAGTCGATGGCACAGTGCAGGAAGTCGTCGGAAGGCCCGTTTCTCACCACGTAGAGACTGTCGCGGTGGGCCACCATGCAGTGGCCGTAGCTCTGCGGACGCCGCAGCTCGGCCACCGGCAGCCACAAGTCACCGCGCGCCACGTACTCCACCACGGAGGTGGTGTCCGCCGGCCGCCACAGGCACACGAAGAGGCGGCCACACGCATGGGCGCAGGGCGGACCGGCGGCCGGCTGCGGCAGGTCGGCCACGAAGCTCCAGCAGCCCGCGGCCGGGTCGTAGCGCTCCACGGAGCTCATGGGCGTCCTCTGGAACTCGCCGCCGACGGCGTAGAGGCAGCCGTCGAAGCCCGCCAGCGCCGTGTCGTAGCGCGGCTGGTGTGGGCTGGGGAACTCGCGCCACGTGCCGCCGTCGGGGTCGTAGCAGAAGCCCAGCTCCACCACCTCCTTGTTGGCGCCACGCACGCCGCCCACGATGTAGAGCTTGTTGCCCAGCGTGGCCACGCCTGCCAGCAGCGTGCTGGCCTCTAGGGGCAGCGGGGCCAGCGTGCGCCACGCGTCCTCCTCCTCGTCCAGGTAGCACATGGTGCGCGACGCGTCCTCCAGGAAGCCAGGCGCCGGCGCGTGCGTGCTCACGGCCACGTAGCTGCTGGGCCGCTGCGCCGCCACGTAGGCGCGGGCCTCGGGCAGCGCCAGCTCGGCCGCCAGCTCGCGCCCGCCGTCGCGGATGAAGAGCGCCGCGCTGTGGAGCACGTCTCGCAGGCCGAAGGCGGCGGCCGCGTCACACAGCAGCGCGCAGTTCTCCGACGTGAGGCTGTGCTCCAGGAAGCGCGCCAGCGCCGGCGCCTGCAGGAAGGCGGCGCACTCCACGGCCTGCAGCAGCTCCTCGGCGGCCGCCAGCGCCGGCCGCTCGCCGCGCAGCACCTGCAGCGTGGTGCGGAAGCCGCCCGCGCTCAGCACGCCCAGGCGCACCTCTGCCGCGCGCGCCTCCCGCATGCCAGAGCGGAAGAGGCCGCGGAAAAAGCCGCAGTGCTCCACCAGCAGGGCCTGGTCGGCCTGGAAGAGCTGGCCGCCCACCCACACCTGCACCGGCTCCTCCGGGCCCCGCGGCATGGCGAGCCTGAGGGCCGGAGGCCGCGCACTCTGGGGCTCTCCAAGAGCGGAAGAAACTTCCCCGGGGGATATAAATATCTCCCTGGCTAAAGATAGTGCGGCTCATGTGATGTGGTGGCTCGCAGGCTGAATGGCTGCGGGCCCGGAGGGCATCTGGAGACCTGGGTGGTCACTCATTTCCACAGGAGAAAGAGTAATAATAGTGACCATGTACTGAACACCTACTGCATACTGGGCACCGTGAGGGCTGCTGACAAAGATATCCCATGGAACCCGCGCCATACCAGCTGTGCGCCATCGTGCAAGTCCCGTAACTCCCTGACTCATGGTTTCCTCATGTTCTAAATGGGACACGTACTGCACAGTATTGGGACAATATCTGTGAAGTCTTCCTAACGAGGCCCAGAGAGTTTAGGTGACTTGTCCAACGTCATTCAGCTGGGAAGAAGCAAGGACAGGTTAATACCCAGCCCACCCCTTGAGCTCAGAGCGGTGGGACAGGTGAGTTGGAAGGAGAGGCGGGGATGGAGCAGATACATTGGGCCAGGCTGGAGTCCAGGACCAGGGTTTTAACTGGACGTAGGATTCTGCCCCTGACTCGCGGCTAGTCCAGTCTCTTTTTGAGACTGAGTTTCCTTCTCTGTAAGATGGAAAGGGTAGCAACTCGCTTTGCAGGTGAGCATCCAATAAGCTCCTGCGTGTGGGAGTAATTCCCTGACTCGGGATGGGAATGGGAAGCTGATGTCTATTCCCCACTTGCCGGGCTCCTCCGTTGCTAAGTGGCTCCGAGAAAAGGAAAGTGGGGCTGCTGAGGGGATTATATGCTTGTGGATGGGAAGAAGGGCCTCTTGAAATAGTGATAGCTAACACGTTGCACTGTGTGTCAGGCACTGTTGCAAGCACTTATATTAACTCTTTGCAACAACCCTGTGAGTACATACTGTGGTTCCCCCTTTTAACAGATACTATCCATTTGCTACTTACAGCAACACTATGAACTAGATATTATTAATGGCCTCGTTTTGTAGCTGAGGAGACTGAGGCACCAAGAGGTTCGTCACATGGCCAGAGAATGGTAGACCTAGGACTGGAATGCAGCCAGTCTGACTCTAGAATGTGTGTGCGTACCAATGTGTTCTGCTGCCTTTCTGTGCTACGAATGCTGGGCAGTCCCCTCATACCAGGAGGTCACAGCTGGAAGGAACCTCAGGCTCACATGGTTCAACCATTTCATTTACAGTGGAGGAGCTGGGGCAGAGAGGGAAAGGGAATTTCCCAGGGTCTCGTAGCTTGGTGCAGACAGCTCCTGGCCTCCTGCTGCCCACCCTGTGGCATTTTTCCCACTGCACAGAACTTTCATGGGTGGCCAGCTAAGACTCTGGGTCCAAAAATGTCAAGTGGAAAGGAGCTTAGTGATTATCTTCTCCTCCCACCTTATTCTGTATGGAGGAAACTGAGGCCCAGACCTGTGTAGGATGGTACTCATCGTTTAGGAGATACTCAGCTGCCCCATGGTCACATGTCTTCTTTGGGAGGTCACCCACAGTGACCAAGCAGGAGGTGGAAAGAGGGGGGAAACTCTCTCCCCCTTAGGACAAACGAATGCATAGACCCTCATGTATACATCTGTAGACCCAGCACGAATGTGGCTCCCCTGCTAGGGAACTCCCACCCAGTTCACTCCATCAAAGTGGGGCTGGGACATGGGGACCACTTGTGTGAGCTTGGGAAGCCAGAGGCCTGGAGGAGGCAGCCAGAAATATCTCTGATGCTCTGCCCCAGGGACCAGACAGGAAGAGGAGGAGGAAATGGAGGGGGTGGGCAGGGATCCCCATGAATACTATCCCAGGCCCTCTTCTGCCAGCTTCTCTCTTTCCCTGAGGCCAGACATTGGCTAAAAGGGCCAGGAATGGGTCCAGGCAGCAGGCATGACAATCCCCCTCTTGGGGACAAGTGGGCTCTCAGTGCTGGGTCCCGACCGTCCTTTTTGGTGGCCTTAGTGATATAGAGAGAGGGTGCGTGACTGTTCCCATTTCACAGATGAGGAAAGAAAAACTTAGAGATGAGCTGGGCTTTTCCTTGGTTATGAATGAGGATGTGGGGTGGACCGAACCCGGCCGGCTCCAGCCCTGCTGCCTCCCTTCATCTGCACTAGCCTTGCCTCAGTGCAGAGAAACAGCTACCTTCCGCTGGGCTCAAATAATGGGCAGGACTGGGGAGGGACTGACCCCTAGGGGGCCGAGGCTGCTGCACAATCCTGGGGCCACAGTTTTCTACGAAGTGGCCTGTTCCAGACACCCGGGAACTGGCAGACACAACCAGATGCAGCCATCGCCTGGCCCTCTCCTGAGAGCAGGAGGGAGAGGGCATGCAAACCCCTCCTGGCTGAAGTTTGCTCTCAGCTCCATTTTTCCCCAGCTCCAGCCCTGGCTTGAGTGGGTTGGGGCTCACACACACACCCAGTTTCCACAGCAGCCAGGCAGTGGGGAGGGGGGGTCACCCACAGTGGGGGGTCAGGTTTCTGAGTCTGGGCTGAGGATCAGCTCTTAGGCCCTGCCCCCAAGGCCCCAGTGGGGTGTTGTCTGCAGCTGGGAAGAGTTTCCTCCTCCCAGACACTGAGTGTCCCTCTGGGATTTGGAAAGGACAAGGAACTATCCTAGCTGTGTGCAGCCCACAGAGTTCCCAGGCCCTGCTCGACCCTGCACCAGTCTCTCTCTCCATTTCACATCCCCCACACTGTGCAAGGTTAGGGGTGGGGTCAAGGAAAGGAGTCTGTGTCAGACCCTGAGCCTTTCTAGAGCACAGACCCAGCCTTAATTCATCCCTGTATCCACAGTGATTGGCACACAGTAGGGGTCTGTTAAGTGAATTCCTGGACCTTAACCTATGTCTTCTCCATCAGACTGTGATCCCCCATCTGATGGAGAAGACACAGCCCTGTCTCACGAGAGCCTCCTGTCTGATGGAGGAGACATAACCCTTGCCCTGGGAGGCACCCCCACCCCCACAGTCTGGTGGGGGAGCCCTTACCCTTTGCCACCTATGGTGGTGTTTCTGCACATAGGGTGCTGAGTGGCTTGTACTGCCCGGACCTGGAGAAGGAAGAGCACTGGAGATGGGAGTCAGGATTCCTGCCTGGGCTCTGATGCTGGTCCTACTACTGATTTGCAAAAGCCACCAACCTCTTTAGGCCTCACCTCTTCATCTATAAAGTGAAATTTGAATCTGACTTCCTAAGTTGTTCAGCTTTGACATCTGAATTTCTTATTGAGCAACCACAGAAGTGGTTATCATGTTGTGCCTCTAGAAAAGGCAGCAATACCGCAAAGGGATGCCGAAAGCTTTGTGTGAAATGGTTCCTGGAGGTGGGTGGCGAGGGTAGGACTTGCCATTGGGAAAACCTCACAGGCCCTACATGTCTAGACCTGTACATGCTACACTCACTCACTCCAGAGACGTCTATCGAGCACCTGCTGCATGCCCACTGCTGCGCTCGGTGCCACATCCTCTGCATTTTGGGTACCTGAGGGCCTCCTATGAGAGCCTTCATGGGGGTGTGTGGTAAGGAAAGTTGAGCTACTTGCCCTAGCAGAATAACCTCTTTCTTGACCTGAAGTGTCCAAACTTCTAGTCACTGAACAGTTGACTTCTTGGTAGGTGGATAAGAAATGTGTGCTCTTCGTGTCCAGGGGGAGTGGAGGGAACTATCATTCGCTTTTATGGGCCATGGGCCAGGCTCTGGGTAGGACACTTTCGTGCTATGTCATATAATCCTTAATGTTATTCCTATTTTAGGCTAGGTGCAGTGGCTCACGCCTGTAATCCCAGCACTCTGGGAGGCTGAGGTGGGAGGATTGCTTGAACTCAGGAGTTCAAGACCAGCCTGAGCAAGAGCGAGACCCCATCTCTACTAAGAACAGAAAAATTAGCCAGGCGTCGAGGTGTGCGCCTATAGTCCCAGCTACTTAGGAAGCTGAGGCAGGAGGATCGCTTGAGCCCAGGAGTTTGAGGTTGCAGTGAGCTGTGATGATGCCATTGCACTCTCCCTGGGGTGACAGAGTGAGACTCTGTCTCCAAAAAAAAAAATTATATAAATGTGTGTGTGTGTGTGTGTGTGTGTGTGTGTATAATTCCTATTTTGAAAATGAGGAACTGGGGCGCAGAAGGGAAAGTAGCTTATTCCAGGGTCTGACAGTAAGTGTGCCTGATCCCCAAGGCTTTTCCAGTCCACAGTGGGCACTCCTGGGTGCTGGATAAGCAGCCCATAGGTGAGGAGACTGAGGATGGGGGAAGGGACGATTGCAGCCATGGGCTTGGCACTGTTTTCCTCCCAAGACTCAGAGGAGGGGCAGACTTTGAGCACTGAGTTGTCACAGCTGAGGGTCTGAGTAGCCAGCTGGCTACCAATCTCTAAACTATTAATAGAACTAGAAGGAAATTAAGGGTCATCTCATTGCATCGTGCAAGTCATGATGGAGTCTCTTCTGTAACACCTCCTTGAAGTGGTCACCCCCTTGGTTGCTGCCAATGTCGGGAGCTCACTTCCTCCAAAGACAGTCCCCTTCTAACTACAGACAGCTCAGATGGTTAGGAAGTTCACCTTCACACAGCCAGAATCTGCCTCCTTGCAGCTCCTGGCTGGTCCCAGTTTTAAAGATGAGGAAAGGGAGAACAGACAGAGGTCAAATAACTTCCCCAGCATCACACAAGCTGGAAAGCAGCAGAACTCAAGTTTACATAGGGTAGGACCTATGCGGGTCCACAGCTTGTCCTCCCTCTAGCAGTCCTCCAGTGAGATTAGTTCTGTCCCCACAGGCCCCATCTGCAACCAGTCTGTCTTCACAGGACTGGGGCCAGCCCATGGTTGTGGCTGGAACTTGGCTCCCGCTTTCTCAACTCCTACAACTCAAAGGAAAACCTTTGGTCATTAGCTGTGGAGCAATTCTGGCCTGAGGGTGTAATCTAAACAAATTCCTCCCCATACCTTAGAGTCTTAATAACAGCTGGTTTACCATGATCTCCCTGAAACACAATTAGGCTGAGTCAATATTCATATCCTATCTGGGAAAATAATTTTCCTTCTTGGTGGAAGAGAAGCTATTGTCTTCCAGCTCTGCCCAGGACCCTGCCTGGATTTCCATGGTTTCTCTTGTGGGTGGGTGTGTAGAAGAGCTAACTGTCTGGGGGGAGAGGAAGAAGGGCTGCAAAGACAGGTCTCTGAGGCCCCCATGCCCTTCCCACCCTACCTTGAGTGTATTCCAGAAGAGATGCTTCATAGGGTTCTAGAATGTACTCAGGGCTGATTCCGTCATTCTCTGTTAGGCCTGAATCACATCATTGAGTTTTGGATTTATTTTCTCCTTCCCTTAGTATGTATAGATGGGGACACCAAAGCCCAAAGAAGTGAGGTGACTTGCCCAAGGTCACCCAAAGGAAGGAGCTGGCACTAGATCCTAAGTGTCCAGGTTCTCAATGTGGGCCCTTTGTGCTGTCTCCACAGTTACCCTGAGTCCCAAGGGTAATGACCAGATGACCCCTGCCAGGCTCACCACCAATCCCAGAATTGCTGTGAGCAAGAGGGGGTGCTAGAACAAATACCCCATTTACACAACAGGCCACAAACACATGCAACTCATTAGCTCCCACCAAGAAGAAACAGTCATCTAGAATGGATTAGGTTTCTTGAATCTGAACCTACATCAGCCATGAAATCTCAGTAAGGAGTTCTCACTCCCCCTTCCCAGGAGCCTGGGTTCTGCAGTGATGTCTCTAGAGTCCCCACACCAAAGGGCAGGCCAAAGTGATTGGGGAAGTAGAGCGCCGAGGCTGAGCTGGCTGTGACCTAAAGAAAGGAGAGGCACGGAGTTGAACTCTGGAGGCTTCCTGGAGGAGGCGGGGGAGGCCCCGCTTGATAGAACAAAGGGAGGGGTGGATTTTCTTGCTGGTGGGAAGAGAATGAGTAGAGGTCCAGGAAAGTCTGGAAACATCTTCCCCTCTATCCCTCTACCCCCAAGATTCCCTCTCTGGTTCTTCCCAGGCGGGTCTGGGGGCGCTCCGGAGGATGAAGGCGCCCGGGTCCTCGAGGCGGAGCAGGGCGCTGGGGGGCGCGGCCGGCTGGAGCCCCCTCCCTGCGCAGGGAGGGGAATGCGCGGGTCGTGGGGGGCTCCTGCGGCCCGTACAAGGAGTTTGGTGGCGTCCGGGGCGGCCCCGCCCGCCAGGCTCCACCGGCTCCTCCTCCCCGCGGAGTCGCAGCCGCAGGGCGCGCGGTGCGAGGCCGGCCGCGAGGGCCAGGGACGCCGCGTCCCGCGTCCCGCTCCCGGGGGCCCCGACGGGAGGGCGCGCTGCTCGGGGCCCAGCTGCCGAAGACCCGCGTCGCTCTGCACGGCGTCGCCATGTCCTCGGTGTTCGGAAAACCCCGCGCGGCCGGCGGGCCGCAGAGCGCGCCCCTCGAGGTCAACCTGGCCATCCTGGGGCGCCGCGGGGCCGGCAAGTCTGGTGAGCGGCGCGAAGGCGGGGGCGTGGGGGGGACCGGAGGGACAGGGAGTGGGCGTGGGGCAGGTTCCCCCACTGGCTTTGGGGGGCTTCCTTCACGCAGGTAGGTTGGGTGAGACACCGCGATTTTCTTCTTTGCCTCAGTTTCTCTGTTTGCCAGGCTCTCGCTCACTCTCCTCTCGGCTTTGTTCTCAGCTCCTCCAGCTCTTTCGTCTGTGTTCTGTTCCTTGCCTGTCTCTTCCCTTCGTGTCTTCCCACTGTGTCTCTGTCCTCCGTGTCTGTGACCCCTGGTGTCCCCCACCCTCTGTGTCTCCCCTTTGTCTTTCTCTCTGCCTCCCAGTCCTCTGCCGGTCTCCCTTGCCACCAGCTCCCCGGCCCCTACCCCCCTCTCCTCTCCTGGGGCCAGCAGTCAGTCTTGGTGACTGGCTCCAAAGGGACTGTTGGGCGCTGATCCCCAGCCCAGGGCCCTCTTTGAGCTTAGTCGCGGCCTTGCTACTGCCTGGTCTAGGCTTGGGTGAAGGGGTCCTTCCACCCCCCTATCCACACACCTCACCCTGCCCCCACTGAAGGAAGTTGGTAGAAGTTACTAGCTAACTGGATTTCTCTGGGAAGGGCTACTTCCCCACTCCCCACCCCAAATCCCTGGGATTCTGGGACAAACTGTGCATTCTTATCAAATGTGTTTGTTTCAAGCCAGACCCTTCTCTTAACTTTCTGGAAATACGTTGAGCTGTGGTCCCAGGTGCCTGGGACTTGTTCTTGATGATCCAAAATCTTGGGCTTCCATCGAGATAATTTCTGTCAACACTGAACTCTGGCAGCTGGAGCCCAGGGGGATGGAGGTGTCACCAGAGAAAAAGAGTCTGCCTCTCCCCTGCCACCCAGTCCCAGACAGCCGAGGGTGCTGGGGCAGAGGGGCTCCTCCACTGGCTGGTTTTCTAGTCAATAGCTGCTAGTGATGGCCACCCCTGCTCAGTTAGCCGTGAATTTCCTTCCCCACAGTGTTCTTTGAGACTCACTGGGCGCCTACTCTCTGATTTTGAAGCCAGCCCTCCTGACTCAGAAAGGGGACTCCACATCTGGTTTTCCTACAGAAAAGATTTGCTTCTTCCCTTTGAAAATCACATTGCTATCTGTAGCTCTGTCACTAGTGCAATTTAGCCAGTGACTTCATGAATGAAAGAATTTAAATTTTGAAGTATGTATTCCCTGGGTATCAGTCTACAAAATGACACTGTTAGAAATCCTAGGAAAGAATTTTAAGGATTTTCTTAACAATTTCATATTACTTTTTAAGAATCCAGTATAATATTAATAGTTGCCTGGCCCTTTATGTGGCTAAACTCCAAAGCAAGTCAGAATCCTGTTAATGTGTTCCACTGGGGAGAACTTCGTTCTAGAGTTTTACATAATGCTGAGACACCCGTGATGAGTGTGGAGGCCCTAGAGAGAGGCACGGCTTGAGCTGTGGAGGACCAGGACTCAGATCTCGCCTGGACCTCACCTGGAAATCCCTTCCCAGGGATCCCGGACCCACCATCAATTCTGCTCTTGCTCTCTCTTTGGCTTGTAGCCAAAGCTGGAATAAACGCTCTGCACTTCAGAATCTTTGTGGCTTGTCCAGGGTGGGCTACGTCTCCCTTCAGTTGGGGTCTCAGCAGGCTGACCCCGAGGTAACTGGTTGCAGGGGTCCCGACCCTGTGCTCGGTCTTCACAAACACCCCTTAGGCTTGCCTCTCATTGCTTTTCTTGCCATTAAAAAAAATCCCAGGGCGCAACTAGAGGGACTCAGCTTTTCATATTTCTGGTTTGTTCTGAGTTTCTCAAACCAACTCTTCAGTTCCCCAGCCACATTCCCTGAGAGAGCTGAGCATGGTGTCAGCCAGGGATCACAGAGGTTAGCTGCGGCCTGCCTAAAATGAGAGGGGCTGGCAGCCAGACACAGCGGGGAGCCTGAGCTGACCTCTTTCTGCTTCTTGCAGCCCTGACCGTGAAGTTTCTGACCAAGAGGTTCATCAGCGAATATGACCCCAACTTGGGTAAGAAACCACTCCTTCCTGCACCTCCTGCTGCCTGTGCCCCACCTGGGGTACTCCCCTGGCCCCTACCCAGTGGGTGGGCCCTGGCCAGGACTGCACATCTAGGGGCAGAAGGAAGGAGCCACCAGGATGACTCAGCCCATGGGGGAAAATGTTTTAAGTGCCAAAAATATCCCTTTCACAGCCCACCCAGACAACTGGGGCCGATTTGCCCTAAAATACGAGGTGTGAGGGGATTTTTAAAAAACTAAAAATAAAAAAAGCAAATATAACAGGATGTCCACATCCAAATAGGTGTCATTCTTCAAGATGATTACTCAGTGTTCTTTTCCAGAAAAGCTGGACAAGACATTTGAGAAATTCTTTTGTGGTGCTGGTTTCTGAACCAACTTTTGAACACACGAGACAACTAGTCTTGTTTTACAGCTGCATCATGATATTTGGAAAAAGGGATGTTTGTTGTCACAGAGCTGAGTTTGAGTCCTGGCTCTGCCACTTACTGGCTGTGCAACCTTGAGCCAGTCACCTAACCTCTCTGAGCTAGTTTCCTCATCTGTAAAATGGGCATAAAAATACCTAGCTCAGAGAATTACTATGAGGATTAAAGAAATGACACGTGAAAGATCTAGCGCAGTACTTGACCCGCAGTAGACACTCGGTGCATATTTGCTTTTCCTTCATCCTCAGATGGCTTCCTGTGCATCCAATTAATCGGATCAGTGTTTCTGAAAATTATTTTTAGTAGCAGGACCTTTTCCTAAAATTACCTCTTACATGGAACCCTAATATGTAAAACAAATAAAAGCAGAATTTTATTAGAATAAATGTAACTTAAAGCTCACATTTTCCAACACTATGTGCTGTCTGGAAGAATAAAAAAGATTAAAAAAAAAAAGAAGAAGAAGAAAAAATAAGAAAATAAAACTCACATTTATACCATTTGTTTATTGTAAACTGTCCACTGAGAACAACAGGGTGTCTGGATGATCTTAGCCTTTTGGAAGTGGACATTGCAGTCTAGGATTATTTTCTCCACTCTGAAAAATAGAATAAAGCATTCATGGGCCCCCCGAGGGCCCTCTGAAGAAACCAGGGTTCTGTGACACGGGTCAAAAACCGACCACACTACTGCAGCAGGCCCCTGACGGAATGCCACTCCCACGCCTGGGAGAAAGAGCACCTTAACCCAGCAGCACCCACCAGCCCCTTAGTACAGGCGGGGGTAGAGTACCGAATCCTGGTGTGGGAGCAGGAAGAGACCTCAGGGCTATTTAGTCCTATGGTTAAAAAAATTTTTTTTCCTTAGGTAGCAGAATCCCTTCGTCCAAATCTTAAACAGAACCCCAGGGTGTCAAATAGAGAAAGTGGAGGGTTCCCTTGGTTAAGTCAGGGGTACAGGGCAGGCGATGCACTGCCAGTCCCTAAGGGGTTTGTTCCTCAAAGCGCTGTACCTTGGCGCTGCAGTGGAGGAAAAAGGCCCGTGGAGCTGAGGGCCTCTGGGCCGTGGTCACACAGCAGGTCTGAGGGGAGCCCCTTTGGTTAGCAGAGGTCAACTCCTGAGAGAGGAGGACACAGGGCCAGGGAGGTGGCCGGGGAGGCCAGACCACGGAATCAGAGACGGGGCAGAGGAGTTGCGGACGGAGGTGAGCGGGGAGCGCGGCAAGGAAAGGCACACGGGCAGGTGGGGGGATCCCAACGAAGCACCTCAAAAGATCCATTCTGCCCAGTTGAAATACTGCGTGGGTCACACTTACACTAAAAATGATTCCATTTTATCTGGAAGTCCAGTTTAACTCAGCATGCTGTGTTTTTTCGGGCAACTCGCCTCCAGCCTCTCTTCTTCCCTGCCCCCCAATCCGTACCCTTACATGGGGTCCCACCGGATGAGCCTCTTACGGTGGTGGTTTGAGCTTCCTGATTGAGTAATTTTGGAGTTCGGACCTGGTAGCGGAATGAGGGGTCAGGCTGTCTGGGTGAGGGGCAGCCCTGCCGTGGTTAGCGCCCTCGGCCTTGGTCTCGGCCCACACTGGGAGCCCACAAGCGAGAGAGGCCACAGACGCTCTCCTCTCAGACGTTCTGGGGGGCAGTGCCACTCCTCAGAGGTTCGGCTGGGAAGGGCCTAGACGTTCCGGCCACTGCCCCAGCGCTGGTTCCAGCAACAGCAGAGACTGTGGAACCAAAGCTTTTCCTCCTGTGGAGAAAGGGCCGAACGTTCAAGGGGAACGTTTCAGGCAAACGTTGGCAAAACAACTCTCCACCCTTTCCGAGGTCTTCCAAGAGCTCGAGCTCATTCTGGGAGCCCTTTGATGGTGGAGATTCACTCCCATTTCCAGCGTGTAGCGCAGTACTAGGCGCAACATAGATGCTTTTAACTGTGGGGCTGACTTTTGGTTTTAGGATTACCCTTTAAAAAAGAGCTCCTATTATTATCCCCATTTTGTGAAGCCCACCAGAGTACCCTGAGGCAGGGACCTGATGATGGAAAGACTGGACATCACTGTGACTGGGAAAGGAGCCCCATCCCTGCCCCAGCCTCTGAGGCCAGTCACCCCATCTGTAAAGGGGAAGCTGGACAATATGGCCTCTGAGGCTTCTTCCAGCTTGCCCCTCCACGTTCCACATCCCCAGCTGGTCTTCCCTTGTACTCTGCTCAGGGGGTGAGGGGGTTCCAATGGGGAGGCAGCCCAGCCTGGAAGACCTGAATTCAAGTTGCTTCTGCTGATAGGATGCTGTGTGGCCTTGGGCGAGTTCCCTCCTTCTCTGGGCCTCAACTTGTCCTCTCACTACAGTAGAGCTAACAGCAACCTCAAAGGGCTGTCATGCCTTGAGGGCAGCAGGAGATCAAGGTTGGGCTAGAACCTTTTGCTGGGCTGGGCAGGACGCGGTGCCTGTTGAGGGAATGCCTAGAAGGGGTGCATCAGACAGCTCTGGCAGGAAGATAAAGACAAATCTGAACGAGATGTAGGCATCTAGGGGCAGGTCTTCTTGGACCAAATATAGTTAAATATTTGGGGCATAGTTTCCATTAGATTTTTTTGTCTTTGCATAAGAGCAGCTATTTATCCAAGTTCCCAAAGCAGGCTGGGGACAAGAAGCTGTCTGTGATTCATGCTGGATGTTAGTGGACTTGGAGTGTGTCCAGGCCTGGCTTGGCTGCCAGTGGCCCTCAGAGAGAAGTGTTTGACTGTAAATTCAGCCAGGGTTGGGGGGGTGCCCTTCTCACAGTGGATGCTGCCAGGAAGGCAGACAGCATCTCGGTTCTGCCAAGAGGGGTCGTTTTTAAGGTCACTGGGGGCAGGGGACCCCCAGGAAAAGGTGAGGTACTCACACTTGCTGAGTGTGGACCAATGGCACAGGCAGAGATTGGGGGTAGGGAGAATGATTGCCAATGTGGCAGTGAGGTCCTCTTTGCATGCCTGGCCACTTGCTTGCTGCTTTCTCTGGTTTGAGAGGTAATGAGAACTAAAAAAAAAAAAAAAAGTGACAATTCATGAAATTCAAATGAGGTCCATAGCTTATAATATGGTACCATGGTACCAATGTCAGTTTCTTGGTTTTGGTCATTGTGCTGTGGTCATGTAAGGTGGTAATATTGGGGGAAGCTGGGTGAAGAGTACATAGGAACTCTGTACTATTTTGCAACTTCTATGTGAGTCTAAATCTTTTTCAAAATAAAATGTAAGAAAAAAATATCTGTGAATGTGAACCTGCCCTGCTAACTTGGAGCACCACGGTCCCCACTGCCATTTACCAGGCACTTCTAGTGGCCCAGGCCCCATGTCCTGGGGGCCTATCCAGTCCTGACCCACAGAGCCCTGGGAGATAAGACTATTAAGTGAGCTAATGTAGGGACAAGCACTTAGCACAACACCTGGCACAGAGTAAAGGCTTGGAAACGGTTAGCCAGTGTTACCATGGTATTCCCATTTTAAATTGAGAAAATTGCCTCAGAGGGCTGAAGTGACTCAGCCAAGTCACGTAGCTAAAAAGCAGCTGAAGTTGGATTTGATTCCACATCTCCAACTTAAAACTTTTTCATTATTATTATCTTTTTTAAGACACGAGCGAGGTCTCTCTCTGTTGCCCAGGCTGGAGTGCAGCGGTGCAATCATATCTGACAGCAGCCTCGAACTCCTGGGCTCAAGCCGTCCTCCTGCCTCAGTCCCCCGACTAGCTGGGACTACAGACACGTGCTGTAACACCTGACTCATTTTTGAATTTTTTGTAGAGATGGGGTCTCACTATGTTGCGAAAGCTGGTCTCAAACTCCTGGCCCCAAGAAATCCTCCCACCTCGGCCTCCCAAAGTACTGGGATTACAGGCACGAACCACCCATGCCTGGCCCCAATTTAAAACTTTGGACTACACTAGACTCCTCTGCTGTCCTGTTGACAAAGATTACTTGTAAAACCTTCTTGGAATGCTGCCTCCATTGTGTTGTGTGCTTCTCTCTTCCCTCATCTCTTCTCCCAGTGGGGGCAGGAGGGTTGTTGTTGGGGACCTCCTGCAGGCCAGGTAGTGTGGTCAGAGGGGAAGAGGGTGGAGAAGCTTGGGGTTTGGGGACGGAGGGGCTGGCAGTGCAGCTCCTGAGCCTGTGCTGCTAACTGGGCCCGTGGGCCACGCACTCCATCCTGCCAGCTTTGCCCACGGGCCCAGAACACAGTCCTGCCCCCCAGGCATGTTCTGTGAGTGACTGCTGATGCTCTGAGCCCGGCAGGCCGAGTGGCATCTCCTTGGTGGGAGGTTCTGCCCATGACTTCTGTGTGGCTGAGAACCAAGGACTTTACAGTGGTCCCAGCTCAGCCCGGGACCCAGAGCAGCTCCTGAGGGCCCCCTGAGGCCACACAAGGGAGCTCAAACTTAGACCCAGTTCACTGCGTCTGACCTGCTGACCGTCTGTGTTGCAGAGGACACCTACAGCTCCGAGGAGACTGTGGACCACCAGCCTGTCCACCTGAGGGTCATGGACACTGCAGACCTGGTAACGTTACCCCCATTTACCCATGGAGAGTTGAGAATCAGTGTAGCGTTCTAAGAAGTCCTGGCCCAGAATGGAGGCCCTCACATGGGAATTTGGATCCCTTTTAAATTACGTTTTGCTGTGTGAACCTGAACGAGGCTCTGACCTCTCTCGGCCTGGAATCCCTCATTTGCCACACGAGAAAGATGAAGCAGGCTGAGAGGCCTGAGGGTTGCCGGCACCAGCTCTGAGATCCGTGCAATGGGGCGCTCTGCTCACGCACACATGGAGACAGGTGCACACCTGTTCACACAGACTCTCCTGGTGTGAGCCCCTCGCCCAAGCCACCCCCGGCACACACATCTCCCCCTATGTCCTTTTCGCCCCGACCAAGGCTGGATGCCCGTTATTCTCAGAAGCCAAAGGAGCAGCACGAACCTGACCCGAAACCAGGGACAGCCAGGTCTCTGTAGGGGCCATGCCAGAGTCTTTGGCTCTGTGCCCAAGGGGCCGAGGTCTCCAAGTCTCTGGCTGGGTGGTGGGAGGGAGGTTCACGGGACAATGTCTCCTTTCATGCCAAGCCAGATGCACACTCAAGTGCGCCTTTGAAAAGGACTCTGCTGGGGAACAATGTACAAAGACCCGGGCGGTGGGGAGGTGGGACGGGGCAGCTCAGGTGAGGGCCTTTACCCTGACGAGGAGGCTTCTCTCCTTCACCCCAGGACACGCCCAGGAACTGTGAGCGCTACCTGAACTGGGCCCATGCCTTTCTGGTGGTGTACAGCGTCGACAGCCGCCGGAGCTTCGAGGGCAGCAACAGCTACCTGGAGCTGCTCTCCGCGCACGCGAGGGAGACGCAGCGCAGCTACCCTGCCCTGCTGCTGGGCAACAAGCTGGACATGGCCCAGTACAGGTGAGGCGGCCACTGCGGGCCTCATCTTCAGGGATTAGTCAGCTTCTAAGAACAGTGATCCCCTCAAATTTCGGTAAGAAGGATTGGGTTGTAAGGGTCCAGTGGGCATTGGTCTTCCGGTCAGCCAGGGACAGGAAGGGCAGGGCATCTGGCTGGACCCTGAAAGTCAAAAGAGAGGCCACTCCTGCCACCCTCTTGGGTCTCTGTGGTCTCTCTCAGGCTCACCCTTCCTTGCCTGAGTCTATACGACCGTCCAGTCCCATTCCCAGCAGCTGAGGGGCAATCAGTGCCAGTTCCAGTTTGATTGGCCCCTCGGGTCAGGTGTCTGCTCTGGTCCAACCAGCTCTGGCCTCCCCCAAGCTCAGCTCCACCCGAACTCACTCCCACACTTGGCCGTGCTGGGGGCAGGTTCTCTTAGAAAGGGCTGGACTTGAATCAGAGGTCACAGACTGGGCCAGAGGGCACATTACCACAGAATGCTGTAGCCATAATTTGCTTGGCCCGCACTGTGTTTTAAAAGACCTGGAATTGGAATGCTTTGAGGTGGGGCATGCTCTCTCCAGCTGACCACAGGCCTCCCTGGGCCCCCTGGCTTACCTGCACCCTCTCCACACACCGAGTTACCTGCCTGGCCCCGAGGCACTGAGACTGTGCTTCCTGTACTTGATGAGTGACCCTACTGGATCTCTCCAGCACTGACATTTATCCTGCGTGGCCGGTCTGCCTGCAAGGTACGGCAGCCTTCACCAGCCTTGCACCCTGGCTGGTCAGTCCTGCTCCCTCAGGCCCCAAAGATGCATTGACTGGTGTTTGTTTAGAAGGGTCAGTTGGGCAGTGGGAAAAGTGAGGTGTGGGCTCATGAAGGCGGGGACCGTGGTAAGCGGCCTTCCCAGGCTGTCAAGCTCTCAGACCTGGACAAATCACATCTCAGGGAATGAGGAAAGTCACGTGTTTGTAAAGCCACTAAAGGTAGTCTTTCAGGAATAACAGGCCCTGGAAGAGGGGTCAGAAGACTGGATTGTGGAAGTTTGAGTTTACAGCGAGCTATGATGACACCATTGCACTCTAGCCTGGGTGACAGAGCAAGACCCTGTCAAAAAAAAAAAAAAAAAGACTGGATTGTGAACAGGCCAGTTTTCAATACGGGGAAAAACACTAGACCACCGTTTAGACCCCAAGCTTTGTCAAAGGGGTTGTCTAAGAATGATTTGGGAGCAAATGACAAAAAATACGTGGCTGAAATGAAGTAGCATCAGTTCCCTAAGAACAAGTTATGACAACTTATCCCCCTTTCATTCTTTGCTCAAGTCCCAAGGTTAGTAGATTAGGATTCAGTAAGCACAGTAAATCTCACTTTTAGCTGAGCATTGGTTATTGTCTCCCATGACTGTCTTGCAGCTAAAAGGATAAAATGTGGGTTAGGCTATGTTTCCCAAACTCAATGAGATAAAACTCTCATTAGAAGTTTGAGACCAGCCTGAGCAAAATAGCAAGACCCTGTCTCTACAAAAAATAAAAAAGTTAGCAGGGTGTGGTGATGCACTTGTAGTGCTAGGTACTCAGGAGGCTGAGGTAGGAGGATCACTTGAGCCTAGGAGTTTGAGGTTGCAGTGAGTTACAATGACACCACTGCACTCTAGCCCAGGTGACAAAGCGAGACCGTGTTTCAAAAAAACAAAACAAACAAAACACACCTCACTAGAATGCAACAAAATAAGAAAAAGGACAGTGTTATGTGCCTGTGTCACCAACTCACACGCATACATGCATGCCTAGGGTTCTTGTTTCTGAAAATTCATTATTCAAGCCCCATGATGACAAAGTTGCAGATCCAAGCCCATCATAATAGCAAATAATACCAAGTATTCTTTCAAAAGGGGTTCCTCGGGAAGCAGTGAGCTTAAGGACGGCAGCCCTGGGTGGGGAGTGGCTTAGATGCTGTCCACTGGCCCTTTTTGTCCCAGTCACCCTCTCCCTCTGACACCCATTCCCTGCCTTGGAGCAGTACCCTGGGCAGCCAGCCCCTCCCAGCCCCCTGCTCCTGCCACACTGACCTTGGCTCAGAAACCTTTTCCCACTACTGCCCACCCTAGTGTCTCCTCTCATCTCATGGGCTGTGCCGTCATCCCCAGAAATGGTGGGTGGGGCAGCTCGGCAGTAGGTCCGGAGGATTCAGCCAGTGGAACCTTGGCCCCAAGACCTCAGGGACCCTGTCTCTTCCCCCTTCTGCACATCTGACCTACTGAAGAGCCAGTCTTCTCTTTCCTCCCACCTCAATTCCCATGGCTCTCAGGTCAGAAGCTTCTAGAACCTTCCCAGTTTCAAACCTTCTATCCTGCCATCACAGGAGGTGGTATAGGACCAAGCTGGCACAGGTATTCTCCCCCTCTCCTTTTCCCCTTCCTCACCATGAAATGTTGTCACCTCTTGTGCAGGCAGACAAAACTCCCCACGAGCCCTGAGAGCTCTGCCAACCACAGGCTTCCAGAGTCACCTCTGTGGTCTAACACCCTTCAGTCCAAACAACTGCTTTTCTCCAAAGCTGATCCCGCAAGCCAGGGCTGTGGGTGGCCCATTTCCTGCCCCAGGGACCCATGCTGGGGTAGAGGAGAGGTGGGGCTGGGAATGGCCTTCTTAGTGTCTCACATGGGGGAGCAGCTTCTCTCATCCTCATCCCTAAATTCTGGCTTTGGTGACATCAGCCACCATTTATTAAGCCCTGACTCTGTGCCAGGTACTATGCTAAGCACTGGACACAAATTGTCTTGATCTTAACAACCCTGAGAGGTAGATGTCGTCATCCCATTGTACTGATGAGAAAACTGAGACTCAGAGATGAAGATGACCCCAGACCACCCAGCTAGTACGTGGGGGCTGGGCGTAGCAGCTGATCTGCCTAACTCCTTGCCCCGCCCTGCTTCCTCGCCAGGCAAGTCACCAAGGCAGAGGGTGCGGCTTTGGCAGGCAGATTCGGGTGCCTGTTTTTCGAGGTCTCTGCCTGCCTGGACTTTGAGCACGTGCAGCACGTCTTCCATGAGGCGGTGCGAGAGGCGCGGCGGGAGCTGGAGAAGAGCCCCCTGGCCCGACCCCTCTACATCTCTGAGGAGAGGGCCCTGCCGCACCAGGCCCCGCTCACCGCCCGGCACGGGCTGGCCAGCTGCACCTTCAACACCCTCTCCACGGTCAGCCTGAAGGAGATGCCCACCATAGCCCAGGCTAAGCTGGTCACGGTGAAGTCGTCCCGGGCCCAGAGCAAGCGCAAGGCACCTACCTTGACCCTACTGAAGGGCTTCAAGATCTTTTGAGGCCCCTCTTCAGGAATCCCGGACTCAACGGCTGGGCAGGGCTGCAGGACAAGCGCTGGCTTGTCACCACCGGCCTCTCCCTCTGATGGACCAATAGCCCTCACCCTCTGGTGGACAGCCGACCCTGCCTCCAGCACCAAGCAGTGTCCCTACGCTTAATGCGCTGTGTGAGCTGGAGGGACAAGCGGGGATGCTGCTCCTACTCCCCCCAGGCCTTGTTCTCCATGGTAACCACAGCATCTGTGACCCTGGAAGGAAAACAGCCACCGTGACAACCCGGAGACCTGGGGACAGCCGTAAGCAGGAAGAAATTGCAATGTCTGTCCTGCTGCCATCACTCCTTCTGCTCCAGCTAGTCGGGCTAGCTGTGGCACTTAATGGACAGTCTGGGTGGAGAGCTCCAAGGAGTGCTGTCATTGTGGAGGCCAGAGAGCAGCCTGTGGCAGTGACAGCCCTGAGGTCCTTGCGCCACCTGGTGGACGGGAAAGGCAAGGCGGCTGTAGGTTTCCAAGGCTGGAGCCTGGCTCTCTGAGCCCCAGGCAACAAACCCCAAGGTTTGCCCAAGGAAAATCTAGCTAAAATAACCCAATGGGACAGTGTGGGCGGGGCAGAGAAGTCCCAGGAAAAGGTATTTCCTTCACTGTGCCTCTCAGTGAGGGCAGAAGGCTGGGCGGGGGCTGAGTTGTTGTCCAGCGTGAAGAGCCTGTAGAGTCCTTTCACCAGCATACAGCGTCCCCTCGTTTTCCCACCAGTAAGGACTCTACCTAGACCCCCGGAACCAGCCGTCTCAAGTTTAACAGTAAAGGCTGCAGACCAAAGTTGTTCTCTCCAGTGACAACTACCCAGGGCTCCTGGTTGTAGCAACGCATCCAGCGGGCGCTGGCAGCCAGCCCACTTGCAGATAGGAACACCGTATACCCGTTTGTAGTCTGGTCTGGCAGGACCCAGTACACTCAGCAATGGGTCTGAGAGTTCACAGCCCACTTTTGTAGGATAGAACCTAAAGCATTTTGGGCTAATAAAGCAATTTTTTTCATAAATTATTTGAAGGTGTCACCACAGCTTATATCAGAACACCATGCTTAGACACGGGATCAGAACACTCCTTTGGGGTCCCACTGTTGGAGAGAAAGGGCTCTCAGAGGCAGGCAGTGCAATCACTTCCAACATTGTTTGCCACAGGCCAGGTATGAAGGAAGTCTTCAGAGACCCTTTGCAGGTAAGCAGGAGCGGGCTCTGGCAGGCGGGGACTTGAGAAGGGGATTCTGAGCCCAGAATCCTATTCCTTCCCCTCTCAGCAGTCTCAGGAGCTTGGATTGAAAACAATGTCTCTGGCTGGGCACGGTGGCTCACGTCTATAATCCCAGTGCTTTAGGAGGCCAAGGCAGGAAGATCGCTGAGGCCAGGGGTTTGAGACCAGCCTGAGCAACATAGCAAGACTTCGTCTCTACTGGCCCACTGGTTGTGGTAGTGTGCACTTAGTCCCAGCTACTCAGGAGGCTGAGGCAGGAGGATCACTTGAGCCCAGGAATTCAAGGTTACACTGAGCTATGATCAGGCCACTGCACTCCAGCCTGGGCAAATAGGGAGAGACCCTGTCTCTTAAAAAAAGAAAAAATAAAAGAAAACAGCATCTCTAACCCAATCTTCAGCCTCATTCTACAAATGGAGAAGCTGAGGGCAGAGGGAATCTGTAGCTACTCAAGAACACATGCTGAGAGTCCTGGCCAGGCTTCCTGACTCACCGACAGGTTTTGCACTTTTGCTCCAAGCCACTTGTATGTGCGTGTGTGTGTGTGTGTGTGTGTGTGTGTGTGTACCACTACTATTTAAACAAACTATGCAATTCCAACAGCCCACTTCCAGGAGCATTTTAATAAAATATCTTTTTTAAATAATAGAATTTTAGTTTGCTTGCAGTTTATTTGTTGTATCTGCTAATTAAAAAAAAAAAAAAGGCTGCTTGGGAGACTTAAACCTGAGAGATTTCAGGCCATGGAGCTGAGCTCAGATCACATGCCTGGCCTGGGGTGTGCATGCTCTGAACTCTCCCTAGCTCTGAATTTCTGGTGAGTGTGGAAGGAGAACCAATGCGACATCACTCTCTTTTAACTCATTTTCCACCTTAGCCGTGTTTGGCTGTTCTGAGAGCAAAGTCTTGCTTAGGTTGTTTAGGCTATTTTGTTCCTTGCTTCCAGTGTCATCCAAATGCAGGACTTCTGGAGTTTCTTTTTCTATTGGCTGCTTCTTTCGATTTCTGGGAAGAGAGGGAACAGTGTTGATCAGAAAGCCTGAGTGGCTGGGGCAGGACTGGATCTCCCATATGGCTTAGAGTTGGAAGGGAAAACCCTACATGCAGTCTGGGGGCTACTGGGGACAAGCAGCAGTGGTTGGATGTGACTTTGGCAGAGAGACACCTTACACTTGCATGGGTGTCATCTCAGTAAGGAATCCTCACCACTGGTGAGCTCAGCTATTACAGCGACCCCCTTCCCTCACAGGTGAGGAAATGTGGTTCAAAGAGGCCAAAGAAGCACATACCTGGGACATTCACTTAAGTTTCCTGCCTCTGAGTCCTGTGTTCTTTTCACCAAACCACACTGCCTCTGGCTCCAGGATGCTCATCCTACTTAGTGTGTAAGTCCTTGTCCCCACACCCCATCCCCCATGCTACTGCAGGAAATTCCTAACTATTCTCCCTGCTTCTAGGTGCTTCCTTCTCCAAACCAGCCTACACACAACACCAGTCATGTTTCTAAGACCCCACAGTGCACACATCACCCCCATCTTCACTGGCTCCCACTGCCCACTTCCTCAACCTGACATTCCTGCCATTAACTCCTGCAAGTCTATCCTCTCTCAGAGTCGGTGTTACTCAAGGTACCCTGAGACTTCCTGATCATGGTGGAAGGACACAGCTGTGGGAAGCTGGCTGTCCAGGGAATCTGCTTGGGCCATAGCGGAGCGGGTCTGCTGCTGTCATGGACAGCCACCTTGTCTCTGAGTTGACCTTGCTGAGGGGGATGCTTCCTGACAGGGTGAGAGAGGTGAAGTCACCTTCTTAATGGCAACCCTCCTCCAGGTCATGCCTACTTACTGGCCAGAGCCCAGGGGTGATAATCAGGGACAGTTGCTGGGGTATTTTTGTTTTTATCACAGCTTTAGGTTCTCAAAGGACCCTGAGGGCTGCATTTTGCTGTCCCAGAGGGTGGGCAGCCAAGGTTCCTAAATGACCCCTCCCTAGATTTCCCTTTGAGAAGGCAGGAACCCTGCCTTCCAGAGCCCACCCCCTCCTCCGCCCCAGATCAGCTCCTCACCTGTTTGCCTGGATGCTCCTTCCCAAGAGGACCATGCTTATCACAAACACGACAGCTGCCAGGGCAAGGATGGAATAATTCCAAGGAGATGCTGGGGAGAGACACAAAGGACAGAGCCTTGAGGAAAGGCCAGGTGCCTCTCAGGCCCCTAATAATTGGGGCTTGAGCTCAGACCCAGCTCACAGCTCTGTGGAGACTCCAATCAAAGATAAGCCCCTTGCCTTAGAGGACACAGGGGACACAGAATCTAACAGGTGGACTTCGGGAAGACACAATCTCTCTCTGGAGAAGCCCTAAGCTAATGGTGGAGACAGGACTGCAGTTAAGTAAGAGAGGGAAAAGGGGGTGAGGGTGGGAGTAGGGGATAGGGTGGGCCAAGATAAACTTCGCCAGCTTCAGTTTTGCCAGGGGCTGGTCCTGTGTAGTGTGAGGAAAAGCAGGAAGGAAGAAAGACAGGGAAGGAGGAAGGCAGGGATGGGGAGGAAGGCAGGGATGGGGAGGAAGGAGTGGCAGTTAAACTGGATTTACAACTGCCCACAGATAACACATAACACATAAAGTGGCTGATCTGCACTTGCATACTCACAATTTGTCCACACTACTGAAATGACACAGGGTCCAGCCTCAGCGTTTTTTCATTTGCTGTTCCCTCCGGAGGAATGTTCTTTCCCCCTATAATCTGCATGACTGATTCCTTCACTTCCTGAAAGTCACCTCCCTGATTATTAAAAAGTCACCTTCTTAAGGAGGCCTTCCTTGACCACCTTACCTACCCTTGCTGCACTCTTCCTATTCTCTTTTCTCTGTTCAATTTTTCCTCTTATCTCTTACCAACACACCATGCATTTGGTTGTTTAGCTTGTTTATTTTCTATCTCCTGCACTAGAATGCATGCCCCACAAGGGGAGAGAGGTTTGTGTTTCATTTACTACTGTCACTCCAGTGCTGAGAACAGCGCCCAGCACACAGTAGGAGCTTAATAAATAGTTGTGATGATTGGATCGCGGCTTCAATGAGTGACCACTCCCTGAGAGGCGGGTGCGGTTAGGCCAGACCCCTGGGGGTGCTGAGATGCCCAGCCTTTGTTCCTGTCTTGGAGGAAGGTGCCTCCGGACTGGAGGAGATGACAGTGTCAGGGGGCTTCAGCCAAACTCTGCTGTGTTGAGAAGCACTCCCACCCTCACCATCAATCTCCCACCACTTACCATCTTCTACACGAAAAAACCAAAGCATCTCCTCCAGCAGCTCCTGGGGCACCACGGTGCCAGCTGGGGCTCCGGTAGCCCCCTCACTGTGCGCCATGCCCCTGGTCCCGCTTGGCTGTGCCTCTGGACACCACGTCGTCCTCAGGGCCCTCAGCTCCAGCGGCCCTCTTGGCCTCCTAGCAGACAAGGCCTGCAGGCCTCTGGAAACAACGCAGAGAGCATGACCAGATAGCCCAGCCCAGTTTGACCTCCTCTCGGTGCCCAAACCCAGGTCTCCTCTGGGCCGCAGGACCAAAATAGCCCGAATCCAGGAGCAGGTGGGGCGCAGAGGGGCAGAGACTATAGGAGTGACTCAAATCTTTATTGAAATCCATCACGTGTGGAGGAGCACTGATCTGGGAGTGAGGACTGAGCCACTGTCGGGCCGTGGGACCCTTGCAGAGGACATCCCAGGTTTTCACGTGCGCACCATGCCCGCCCCCTCGCCCCCCGCCCCCTCCCACACACAGCCCACAGCACGCCACGGCGTTTCCTTAGCAACTTGTCCCACCCAACGCCCCGAGACTCATGCGGTCGCCAATCACAAGCCTATGTCTTCCCACGTGTCAAAGGCTGGACCTATCACGTCTCTTTCCTGGGATTCGCTCGCCTGCTACCCTGAGCCGAGAGGAGAGGGAAGTGCGCACAAAGGCAGCAGGCGGCTCCTCCTGGCGAGAGTCCCCGCTTCCTAGTCCTGCCTGGTCAGTGCTGCCTCTGTTCGGCAACTCCCTGAGAACTTTTTTTGGACAAGTTTCTGTTGTTTGCAAAGGAAGAAAGAGAACCGATGCTCCCTGGCTAAATCCTTTCCTTAAATTTGAGCCTGTTTCTGCACCTACAAATAAACCAAACCTCAATGTCAAAACAGTCACAAATTGTGACATATTCGTGTACTACCGGTACTATTACTGCTTAATAGAAAATGTTATTGTATCCATATTTAAAAAAAAAAAGAAATAGGTGAAATTAATTGTGACAACACATTTTTTAAGCCAGTATATCCAAAATATTATCATGTCAATGTGTACTCAATATAAAAATCATTGAGGTAGTTCACAATTTTTGTATCAAATCTTTGACATTGAGTGTAAATTTTACAGATATTGCATATCTCAATTCCAACTAGCCACATTTCAAGTGCTCAGTGGCCCTGGGTCTTGTGGCTGTTACACTGAACAGCCCAGGCCTCTGCCTAAGCCCAGGGCCAAGGTTTGGCAGCGGGTGCTCCTGACTGCTTTGGGCTGTTGGTATGAGGGCTTCAGGCAGGAGAGTGGGCCCTGGGCTGACATCCAGGGAGCTGGCTCTGCCTCTGGTT